TATATATATATATATATATATATATATAAATATATCCATAAACTAAGTGATTCAAATGCATAAGTTAACAAAAAAAAAATTAATGGTTTCACCTTAACTGAATGACAAATATTAAAAGCAGGATCAAGTTTCATGACAAAAAACAAAAAATAAAATAAAGAAAATGTACATTTGCATACAGGTTACCAGAACAATTAAGTCTTTATAAGAAATAACAAAAAAAATTAAAAGTTAAAACCCTTTCATGTAAAGTTTAAATGAAAAAGATCCTTTTCAGTACAAAAGTGTTGAGTTTCATATCAAAATCTATTGAGCAGTTCACTGAATTTTTCAATAAGAAAAGAATTTTCAGAGCATATAAAGCTTAGTATTTACTATTCCATATCTTTTTACTATGGAAGCACAAAAATATTTGGCTTATTAACACTTTCCCTCCTGCACTATTTGCCTGGCTGTACTGACCCATTTTGGAAAAATTAAGAAATTACCTATTATTTACATTATTTAGACTATTGTCCTCATCTTTGTTGCTATATTCATTACAACGTTTCGGCCGTTGTACGCTCCAGTCTTCTTCACCTGAAGAAGGCCGGAGCGTACAATGTCTGAAATGTTTTAATAAATATGGCGACAAAGAATAGTCCGAATAATGTAAATAATGTACATAATACCTCATCTCAGAAATATAGACAGATACTAAGAAATTGCCATTTACTGAAATTGAATGACTTTAGCCCTTTAGCATTCAACACACTCAAACTCCCTGTAAATATCTGCTCTCAAAGTCCCACTATTTGCATGACTTCCTGCATTATTTGCAATGAAGTCATTATATATTATAATAGTATACATGGAGTGGGCTGTACATTGAGAGCCAATATTTTACAGGGTGGGCTTGGGCAAGTTGAATGTTAAACTTTAGAGTCACTTACATCAATTTCTCACAGGTTTTTAGTTCCAGTTGAATACTCAGTAGTACAGACTAAACAAAACAACACCCACAACACAATAAAAATACATCACAAAACAGATCATATTGTATACAACTATATGTCTACACAGGTTTGGGAATAGCACTAAGTGTGAGTTAATTCATAACACAAATACTAGGTATGAACACTTTACAGTAGGTACCTCCAAAAAGGATGCTAAGGATATCATGGACTGAGCATGTGAGCAACAATGAGGTCTTAGAGAGGATACAGACAAGGAGGAAGATTATGCTTAACATAAGGAAGAGGCAGGTGAAATTTCTGGGGCACGTGATGAGAAAGGTGGGCCTGGAAAATCTGATACTCACCGGACAAATAGAGGGAAAAAGAGACAGGGGAAAGCAGTGCATGACATATGTGGCAAGCTTGGGCAGGTGGATGGTGGAGCATGGTCTGGGGGAGTTGGCAGAAACACAAAACCTGTGGAGAGCCATAAGGGATAAAGGGAAGTGGGGGGGCATGATTGCCTACATCATGAAAGAACACAGCACATAAAAAGAAAGAACCTCCAAAATTTTTCTAAAAAAGCATAGTATGATGAAAAAGGCCCCAAACTTGATAAAAACAAAGTTTTATTGTCAAAATATTTGTTATTATTAAAAGGAAAGACCAAACTATTTTTTTATTATTTTATTAAATTTTTTAATCATTCCTAGTGTATTTCAAATTTTGGTTAAAAATATTGTATTTTTTGCATCAGCATGTGGACCAAAGATTAGCATAGGAAATTTAGAATCTCTTTTGCAGTAAATCAAATAATTGTTGGATTTTAATTAAATTTTCAGGACTTATTCACAAATGAATGAAATTATATTTTTTGAATATTTTTTTAAGAAAATTGTGGTGAATATATATATATATATATATATATATATATATATATATATATATATATATATATTATACCTCCACTTAATGAAGTTTTGAGAAATGAAATTTCCAGGATCTTCACATTTATATTAGTTAAAAGCAGGACTCCTTAGAGAATTTAAATTATCAATTTGTTTTTGTCAAACAGGAACACTATTTACTAAAAATCTGCTCTGAATCAAAATAAAAAATGCAACTAAACTATGACATTATTTAATTAGAAAAGCTTTTAATTGCTTTTATAATTAAGATATATTAAGGATAGTATTGTCTGAAGAAAAAATTTTTTCAATAAATAATGAATATTGACAAAAATTGTTTTCATTTTTTTAAATTTTAATTAGAAAAATTTATTAAGCTTTAAATCTTTTAAAATTTATGTATTAATTTCAGCAATTTTGATGATAATATTATTAAGTGAAAAATATATTTACTAATCATAATTGGAAAAGCTTAATACAAACCATCAAACACCAATATTCTTAAAATAATTTTTTATTAGTGTATAAACATGCCATTTTTTGTAAATATGGATGACCATACACAACATTAACAGAAAATAAGGGTGATGACTATAGTAAATTTAAAGCTAAAATTTCTAAAGTTCAATAAAACATTCAATTACAGAGGATATTTTCCTAAATTTTTAAGATTAGTGAGTAATTAAAAATTAAATAAAAATTGTGCTCATGTTATTTTCTTCAATTATGCTTTACAGATAAAGTCTCCATAAAACAGAATTAAATCTGTTATGACCTTGTCAAAAATGTAAACACAACTATTGTCAATTAAAAACACAGTCACTGTCTGTTTATAAAATGGATTTCTGCAATATTTTTAACTTAAAGTAAATAATATTTGTTTCAAATAAAGCCTCAGAAAAGTATATTTTATTTTGGGAAAATTTTTTAATATGCGATGAAAGATGACTAAAAAGTGGCACTAATCAGCTATTTTAACAAGAAAAGAAAAGAAATAAAGAACGAAAGAAAGAAGGTCTTTCTAATCAATTTAAATTAATTTTTGAAATACCACAAAGTATTTTGCTTATTAAAAAAATTAAATTTAATCAAAAAGCTTCAAGAAAAATTTTTCATTTTTAAAAATTCATTTTAGACATTAGTTATTATTGTTTTTTATAGAGGTCCCTACTTTACAGTGTCTTGAAAATGTATACATATATTGACAGCAGACAATATAAGCTTTGTAAAGATATAAGTACATTGACAGCAGCAGAAATGTTAAATGGAGATTGTATTTAACATGACCACAATACTAAAATTTCATGCATGCAAGTATGATTTGATTTCTTGAAGTAGTATACAAGAATAACAATGTTTCTCTTAAGAAAGAATTATTCAAAATATGCATGACTCATAATGTATTTGATACTTGTAAAAATATAAATATTTAACAGTGACAGCAATTCGAAGCCACATTGACTATGAAATAAGGAAGAAAATCAAACTTATCTGATAAAATACTTAAACATTTTTCAGATTGAACTTTTTTTACATAAAATGGTTTACAAAAAGTATTGAAATGTTACTCTAAAAATAGGCAAACACCATCATATTTTTTTTCTTTTTCTTAAATCAGTATTACCCTATTCAAGGCAGTAAAGTCACTAAGACACAAGAGGTTACAGGGTGTGGAAGAATTAGAAACAGAAACATTAATAATGAGCGAGAAGAGAAAAGAGTAATCAGGAGGACAGCAGATAGCAATTAACATTGCATTTAAATTTTTGCAGATTAAGGTTGGCTGGAAGGCATGGAGCCTGAAGGGAGTTCCACAAATCAGAAGTGTGAGAAAAGAAACTGTTAGCATAGAATTTACAGTTACATCTAGCCAGCTCAACTGTAAATTGATGAGATCTTAATGGCAGTCTGCACTTAAATTCAAGTCTAGGTACCATAGTGAATAGATCATCTGAACAATTACCATAGAAGTATTCATAGTAAAGACACAGAGAGACGACCTTACTGTGGTTGAAAAGTGACTGAAGCTGAGCTAACAGGTTAGGACCACTAATATTGCTGATTCTTTTTTGGATTTTATCAAGGAGCTCAAGGTAAATAGCAGGGGCACTAGATAATATGTGACAGCAATATTCTAAGCATGGATGAATGGTAGACTTATACATATGTAAGATAGATTCTGGGGAGGTAAACTGCCTCACACAACACAGTGAACCAACTTTCTTAGCAGCTGACCTAGCACTGGATTCAATATAGTCTTTCCACTTCATGGCAGCTGAGTATTATTCCATTAAAAGCAATTATTAAACAAAAAAATAAATTAAAAAAATAAATGTTTTATTGAAAAGTTACAGCCTTTGTACTTCTAACCACCTTATGTAATTAGTATCTGTTTGGTTTCTACAATTCATCTATACAATTACTTATCAACCACTAAAGACAATGACCTTGCAAGATTTTCACTACTGTTTATCAAGTTTATATTCTTATATTTGTAATATTACTTATTATCTTCAATGTAATTATAGAGAAATACGGATTCATAAGAAAACATTTTAACCAGTTCTAAATTTAAATGTTGTTACATTCTTAATGAAACTCTAATGTGGTAAGAATTTCAAATTTATGATGTGTTTGTTTCGATGAATATAAATATAAAATCTAATAATAATTTCAATAGATTTATCAAACATAAAACTGATAAGTGATTTAACACGAAAATTGGAGTCAGTCAATAACATAAGCCCACTGAGCCTTTATAGAAAATAAATATATATATATATATATATATATATATATATATATATATATATATATATATATATATATATATATGAGATAGGGAAACAGATATAAGAGAGATTGTCATTTTTATTAGTTACATATTATATTTATCACATAGATATCTGAGAGAAAGACAGACAGTAGACAAACATGAACAGCCTTAGATATATAGATAGATAAATATGAAAGAGACAGAAAAAGATGTTTATTTTTATTAGTTATGTCATATATCACTACATATAAACTTTGTAAATTATCATATGACTATTTCCTGTTATTTTTTCATGCCATGTCACTTCTTCAGTATGTAGGCAATCATAGTTCCGTTTCTTTATTATCTGGGAATTCCCATGATTTTGAGGAAATATAACTTACAGCCATATCATATTAAAACACTGGTTCTCATACAATCACTGAAGTTAAGCAACATTGAGTTTGGTTAGTACCTAGATGAGTGACCACTTGGGAATACCAGTAGCTGTAAGCTTGGATGTGAAGGTGACGTAATGGATAATGGTTTGGAATGGCTCCAATTCCATTTGGGTTTGTTATAATCACTTACATGCAAATAGCTTTGGAAAAGTTATGAATCCACTTCACCCCACCCCTGTTATGTGTTAATTAGTAGGACTTGTGTTAATAAATCATTATCATCTCAAAAAAAAAAAAAAAAAAATATCTTACCATCTAAAAATATTTTCTAGCTTTAAACAACCTACAAAATGTTTATGAGCTGTAAAAAATCAATCAATCAAGGGAAAGATAGTAAAACGGTTTCTGGAATCCAGTCTACTATTTAACCTGTAGTAGAAGGGAGGAGTAATGGAGTTATGAATTTCTGAAAGGCAAGGTAAACTGAACAGAACTCATCTCATTGTTTCCACTTTTTACACCAATAGATGTTACTTTACCAATGCATTAGAACAGTAGTGTTTTTGCTTCAGGGCACATTTGTAGAATAACAAACTCTGGGATACAATTTCAATTTTAATATGGAAAAATTAGTCATGAAATTTGAAAATAGGAAAATAATAAAGAAGTCTCCTGAAATAAGAATTTATTTTTAAAACATTGTATGATGGTGTAAAACATGTGCTTTTTGAATGATAGGCCTCATATGTCATGCCTTGAAGAAAGCAAAGAGGAAAGATTTATCCCCTCCTTATTAAAGATTAAGGAATTTAACATCCAGTTTAAAATATCAAATGACAATGACTTAACTTAAACATGGAAACCATGTGCTTGGTGTCTCTAGCTTTTTTATAAATAAAGATTTTTAAATATAAAAATAATTAATAAATTGCTCTACTGTTAACTTCAAGGCACATTAGTGTGCACAGTCGCACCAGTTGAGAAATACTGCATTAGAATGAGGAGGTTAAATTCTGATGAAATTCTATTAACAACATGAGAAGCCTACAGTGCAATGCATAATCTCTAATTGAAAATATCAATGAACACATCACTTCTAAAAAATGAATTCTTTTATAATTACAAAATCTCAACTCATTTCCAAGTACATGTTAGCTTACCAGATGGTATTTATTTATTTACTGCAAATGAGGAACTTGGATATTTATACTTCCTTATGAAGAATAACAGAATTAAATAAGGAAATGTATTGCAATGTTATAACCTTAAGTGTTACCAAGTGAAAGTCTGAAATACTTTCATCACACATTTACTTTTGGTCTACAAAACTAGCAATGTCTATAAATAATAATAGCAGATATTCAAAAAACATCTTTCGGTCGACATACAAGTATATCGTCTCAAGTTTTTGATTTTATAAGGAAAAAAAAACACATGCCTGATGATGGATAGAAGTCTATCCGTAAGTACTAGCATTTTAACATCAAATAAACTGAAAAACTACAGACAACAAGTTTTTCGTCAAGGATCAAAACTCGCACTATGGATGAACAGGATTTTAATGCATATATTATGTTTTCTAGCGATGGATGTCGCCAATAATCGCATTAATACTTCTGATTAATTCTATGTGTGATTATTCTTTGTATGTAAATAAAGAAATATATATATATATATATATATATATATATATATATATAAGAAAGGTGAAATGGGGGAAAAAAAACCTGGGCGTAGATTAATATTTGGGTAATTTTCTATGGCGGCACTCTCCAGAATTTTCCTTCTAAGTGAGTTATTTTCTTTTTTTATGAGTGTAGAATTTTTAAAATCAAAATTATGGTTGAATTTATTTCTAATATTTCTGAAGCAGGCATTTATAAAAATAAATTGCCAAAACTGTTCCTCCCAATATATTGGAGAAATAAGTAGAAGTTTGAAAAAAACACATTTATGAGCACAAAAGAGACCTCACAAAAAACAACTTAGCTAATGCACTAGTCATACATAGAAATAAATTCAACCATAATTTTGATTTTAAAAATGCTACACTCATAAAAAAAAAAATATATATATATATATATATATATATATATATATATATATAATCAAAATACCTTGAAAGAAATTAAGAGAAAAGTAAAAAAAAAAAATTCTTTTAAAGTAACATGGCAATTTAAGATATAACACACCCAACTTCAAGTTGAAATCCTATGTATGATCCATCACTAAAGATGTACGTAAAATGATCAGCTCCCTGTACTGCTCCAATAAGTACTTATTCCTCATGCTATCCTCTACCTTTATAAGAGCCAGATCAGTCCAAAAATAGAGTACTGTTACCATATTTGGGCAAGAGCAGCCCAGACCAGTCCTCACTTTCCAGTCTTGATAGAGTTCAAAAGCATCCCAGAGTCCTTGTTGGAGAAGAATTATTTTCCACCTTCCAACTTCTTTCTCACAGGTAGGATGTGGTGAGTCTCTCACTGCTCTATAGCTACTACTATGGAAAGTGCTCAGACAAACTATACCTTGGTTCTGACAGCTCTAACCTTCATGGCTAGGACCTGTCATGCCACCCACATTCCCTCTGTATTCAATCAGCAAGAAGTAAGTTCTACTCAAACAGCTTCTTCCCACAACCACTGCTCTGTGGAACAAACTCACAAGAGGATGTTTCCCCAATCACTACAATCTTAACTTGTTCAAGTCTAGAGTTAACTTCTTTCACTCCTATCCATATAAACTAACCCTTAACATAACCCTCTACCTTGAGTGGCCCCCAGACTTTGTACAGAGTGAACCTTACTATAAAAAAAAAAAAAAAATGAATAAATAAATACATAGGTATGTGAATAATTTTTGCCAGAATTTTTTAGATGAGAAATTATCTTTATTATATGCTTTATCATGATTACTGTACCCTCGACACTTGAATCCACTAGACTGTGTCTCCTTGACTTGTTGGTGGGTTGTTTTGTTTAGCAGCATATCAACACCTCTATGGGTTATTTAATACCAAACTCTAAATATTTTGTATGCAATTTTATTTGGTGGGGGGGGGATTAATGGTTTTAGTGATACAGCTAGAAAGAGTAATTAAATCATATCTGGAGTAAGAAGAGATTAATTCATATCTTTCTCAAGGGTACTTATGCATAAGTGAATATAAGTAACCCAACTGGAATTGGAACTCAGCTCTCTAATTAACAATCACAGACTATTATCCATTACACCACATGCACGTCCAAGCTTAGAGCACCTAGTATTTCCAAGTGGTCACCCATCTAGTTTCTTAACAGGCTTGACGTTGTTTAACTTTAGTGATCATACAGGAACTAGTGCTTCAATGTAATCCTCCTTGACTAGAGACATGGCTGAATGGATTAAAGTATTGGTTAAATTAAAGTTCAATCCCAGGGTTTGGTAGTGCTAAATAGTTATGTACTCTGGTTCAATTAAATAAACAAACAAGCAACACAAAAGTGAATAAGTCTGGTGTGAACTGATACAAAATATCCCCTAAGCACAGACAGTGGAATTTGAACAATCTACCCCTATGGATTAAATAAAGGGCTTGGTTACTGAGTATGAAGACACATACTTGAAGAAGGTTGGAAGGTACAACGGCTGAAATGTTGTAAATGTAACAATCCAAGAAAAGCAAAGCTACTTAGAATAGCAAAGTCAACACCTTAATGATGTGAAAAGCATTTATTTTAAGAGAGGGAGAGAGTGTATTTAGGCAGCAATCCTTCATTAATACATGTTTCATTAAAGACAACAGAAATAGTTCCCCTAACCACCTTATAGACCACCAAATTAGACTATTTCTTCCCAAAGCAAATAACAATAATAGTGAACAGTCAAAAATAGCATAAATATTTTCTACAAAAAAAAAAAACAAATGCACATTATCTACAAACAAGACGAATCTTCACTTAGAAATATTATAAAGAAATACACTACCCCAATTGACCTGAACAAAAAAAAGAAAAAAATCAAATTAATTATCTACTAAAAAAATTTAAAACAGCTAACCTTAACCTCAAAAATAACAACAGACCAGCAAATTCAAAATTACAGCGAACATTATTTACAAGTTCAAATGCCCCTGAAGGAACTGTGTTCCTGATCAAACTGAATTCATAAATAATTACATTGGTCACACTACTACGTGCCTATCCAGACGCCCTACATTAAAACCTATCAAACCACAGCTCTATTAGAACCCATTTAAACACACACACACAAACTTACCAGACTTCATCTGAAACATACTAGTAGAAAATACAAACATAATAACCTCATCCACATTTAAAAAGACATTAAAAATAATGCAAGCCTTAATAATAAAAAATATAGAGTCAACACTTAATAATATTAAGTACAAACACAGCCACAATGTGATAACTGTGTTCAGAACATAAAACATCCCTATAACTCTAGAAATGTACACACAACCCACACACCCAATTAAAAAGCAAAAATAAAATCGTCCTTGAAAATGGTTAACTCTTATTAAAATATAGTAATTAAACAGTTAATTTTAAATCATATGTTAATTATATAATAAACATAAAAAAGCAGGTTTATAATTAAAAATTACACATACTTTGAAGTTTAGAATATTACATTTCTTTTAGAAAATAATGCAAATTCATAAAAAATCTTCTGGATTAATTGAAAATTATTCAGTGTTATGATAAAGGTTACATTAGAAATTTGTATTTCAATGAGACAGCATAGAGATATTATTTGTATTTCAGTGAGATAGCATAGAGATATTATTTGTATTTCAGTGAGATAGCATAGAGATATTTGTATTTCAATGAGACAGTGTAGGGCATTATTTGTAAACCAAGATGGCATAAACAGTTTCAAATGCTTTTCTTGATAGTAATGCAGAATGTTTGCTGGAAGCCATCTACATACAGAAGATGGTATAAAAAATAATTTCTTGTTAAACTCTGCATGTTTTAAATAAGTCAAAATAAATAAACTGTAGAAAAATATTATTGACAAACAATTGACTGAGAAGAAAGATACTGAAGTAGAGACCAAAGACTATCAAGTAGTGCCATTTAGAAAAAATCAATTAAAATGTGTCGAGTGAAACTATCAGTGATCATCCATTAGCCATTATCAAATATTAATCTATAGCCTACTTTTATAAGTAATCATTTAAGAAAAAATTATTTTAAAAAATCTTCTTTCTTGAATTAAGCTATTATAATGTATTTTTTTATCTTTCTAGAAAAGTTAAATTTATAAATGAACAAAAAAAACATCACTGATCAGCTGAGCATGTTCTTTTATTCTATAGGACATGAGCAATCATGGCTCTCCACAACTTCCTATCTTTTGTAGCTCTAAATAATGTTTTTGAGAAAGCAACAGGAAACTACTAATCTTTCTCAAGAAGCCTTGGCAATTTTCAGATAATAAAGGAAAGGAAAGGGATCTGTGGAAAGCCATGATTGCTCACATCCTGAAGAGACATGGCAGATTTAAAAAAAAAAGAATCTAATGAAGTATATAAATTACATTAGTCAAATTTGAGAATTACTAAGTTAACCAACTTTTATTTCCCCAACAAAACATTTTTGGTTGGAAAGTCAATAGAGAGGAAAATCTTTTATATGCTGTGTCCCTTCAGTGTGTGGGAAATAATCATGGCTCACCCCAATTTCCTATCTTTTGTAGTTCTAAATAACATTTGTCCCTTTACTATCCCTATCAGTACCAGTTCTGCCATCCATTTACACAAACTCATTAGGGAGGTCACTCACTATCTTATTCTACTTTCAATATGTTATGTGAGCACCAAATTCTCCAAACCCTCTTTCCCCATTATGTGTCCCAGATATTCACAAAATTAAAAAGTGCTATTAAGTGAAGTTAAATTAAAACATCTCCGGAAACTTTCTTTACAAGTTCTATAGAAGCCAGATTTCTTGAATAAACTAGTATAAAATCCTTGCTAAATATGTTGGTTCCACCCAAATTTACATTTAAAAGGAAATACAATATTAACACTTAGACCTTTCGCTAAACACTTTAATGCTCACATAAAACATACTACATATTACAAAAAAAGTTAACATGATATTTAAGTCAAAACTTACAATACTTATTTGCTCAGATATCTTTTAGGTTACAATACTCATTTGCTCAGATATCTTTTAGGTTACAATACTCATTTGCTCAGATATCTTTTAGGTTACAATACTCATTTGCTCAGATATCTTTTAGGTTACAATACTCATTTGCTCAGATATCTTTTAGGTTACAATACTCATTTGCTCAGATATCTTTTAGGTTACAATACTCATTTGCTCAGATATCTTTCAGATTACTTATTTGCTTAGATATTCTTTAGATGAACAAAGTTCATGTAAATTTAAATATAAATACACTGATGTGTGAAAATGCTTTTTTGAAAAACTGATTATGCTTCACAAAATTTAACTCACTATGTGAAAAATGTATTTAAAAAATGGACAATGATAAAATTATATAACCTTTTCATATTTTCAGCTAAAAATACATGTTACATATTTACAAGTTGAATAATTATTCATGGGAACTAACATTAATTATTCTGAGCACTTTGTAATAACAGAATTTTGGATAATTAAAAAAAATAATAATTTGCTAGTTAATAAAAAAACTCAACGTTAAATCACAGCAGTAAAATTATAATAAAAAATAGTAAAATTTTCACAGCATCATCTGGAAACAGAAAATGACAAATGTGCTAATGGCTATGCCTCATTTAATAATAATTATGATACACTAACCTTTTTTCTCTCATGTACTGTACCCTTTTAAGACTTGAGTGGTCATGACTCTCCATAGCTTCTTATTTTGTATCACTCTAAGTAATAGTTCTCTCTTTGCTATCCCTCCCAGTCCCTGTTCTACATAAGCTTGTTAGCCATTTTACTCAATATTGCCCTCTGCTTCTCTTTGCTTTCAATATATCTTGTGAGTGTCAAATTCTCCAAGCCCTTTATCCTCATTAGGTGTCCTAGATATTTCAACTGTCTCTTTCTGATTCTAAATATAAATGTCTTTTTTTTGTTTCCATTTTCTTTAAAACTTTCTTGCTGCTCACATGTTATGTCTGTAGTATTTTCAGCATCTTTCTGTAGAATCCCATCTGCTTTTGTCTGCATGTTATACATATTTAAAACAGTGCCTCAGTAATATAAAATATAGATCCATACTCTGTTAAACATGGCTTGTAAGTGATATTGGTTGTAAATGTCTTATAAATGATATTAAAACAAAATTAGTAATTTTAAATAATTGTCACTTTTAAAGTAGTTTCAATTCAGAGTAAAAATACTTAATTGCAATATCAAGAAGAGAAGAGGCTTAGTATTTTTTTAAAATTGCACACGATATGATCTTAAAATTATTTTTTTAACCATTTCACCCCAAGCAAGGCAATACAGCCATTAAGAAGCAAGGGGTTACTGAGCATTAGAGAATATTAGAAACATATACTATTAGGGGGGGGCAATAAAAGAACAAAAATTAAGACAGGAGATAACGATTGACATTACATTTTGACTTAAATCTTTGAAGATCAATGTTGACTAGGAAGCAAGAAGCCAGAAGAGAGTTCTACAAGAGAGAAGTGCAAGAAAAAAACTGTTAGCATAGAATTTATGGTTACATCTTGCCAATTTGAGTGTAAAATGACGAGACCTTGCTGCCAATCTAGTACTGCGCTAAAGGCTTAAATTCATATTAGGTATCATAGAGGAAAGTTTATCAGGATAATTACCATGACAGTATTTATAGAAGCTACATTAGTGGTGGAAAGTGACAGAAGCCAAGATACCAGGTCAGGATCAATAACATGGCAGATTCTTCTTTGGACTTTATCAAGAATCTCTAGCAGGGGTACCAATATTCAAAACAAAGATTTATGGTAGACTTATGTCTATTTATTATTGAATTAGTCAAGTAAAAGTGTGCGTGTAAAATGAAAATTTATTAAAGCTTATTGTACTCTACACTACTACTACGGCAACAGGAAATAAATCTCAAAGTAGGAGTTTTCTTTATTTTACAGCTTTAAACTAATATCCAAAATTCATTTGTAATTACGCCTCTGATAAAAATAATGCCACGGCTCTTTTCGGTGTTTAATTTGTTAGATTGCACAATGTTTCAACTGCGAGACAGCCCAAAAGAACCAAACTTGAGTGCTCTACAGCATGTACTCTAATGTTTAAATTAATCTTCAGGCAGTGAAATATTTCCAGTCTAAGAATTTTCATCTTTGATGACAAATATTTTCGTAATGCCATAATCATTATTCAAATCAAATCGAAAAAATATCTCTTCAGAATTGTATGTTTATACTGAACACACTTTTTTTTTTTTTACTAAAACTGAAACAGTCTTTAAAAGACAATAAGACAAGTAAGTCCATCTACAAATAACGGGATAAAAAATTATTTTAAAAAATTCACCTAAACTAATAGAAATGTTTTTTAATCACCATATGGAAAATTTTTGCAAAATCAGAAATAGTTAGAAATCTGATCCTTTTTTTTTTTTTTTTTTAAATAAAAATTAAATAAAACTTTTTCTTTCTTTTAATGTTAGTAAAAGACATTGAGAAAGAAAAGCGACAAAAAATTTACCTAACAATTTTTTAAATAATTACTGACAGAGCAATAATCATGAATTAATTGGTCAACATTCCAGTGTCACAGAGAGAACTGTGACATACACGATGACGTAAACACACACACACACACACACACACAACAAAACAAATATTGATTATAGATAGAATATAGATTTTTTAAGTCGCCAAAAAATTCATTCATTTACAACAATTATTATGAATACATTTAGCATTTTTGTTTCATTTCTTTACATACGCATTTTGTAAAGAAAAAATATCAAAAAATGACAAAACAAAGTAGTTTTAAAACTAAAAGACTAAAAGAGTTTTCTTTGGCAAAAAACAAAACAAAAGGGAGAGAGAAATTACAAACACGTACTATAACGTTTTACTTTTACTTTTTAAAATAAAAACAATATGGGCAAAAAAAATGTTAAAATGAAAAACACGCACCATAATAATATATATGGATTGAAAATAATTATTTTGTTACACTGAGTTTCTTTGCAACTCAAAACATCTGCTGTCAAGTAAAAAAAAATTCTTAATGCAACTTTTTTAAACAGAATAATAAATTTTTAAAAAAAAAAAAAAAAAAAAAAAAGTTATTCGCACCGGGCTTCCCACGTGCTTTGCTAACAATTACAGCCAAGCCAAAAAAATATTCAGATTACAACAATATTCTAAAATAAAAACATTTTTAAAAATCATATTTTAAATTGAAAGAAAATGAGTTTTTTAACAATTGACAACAGAAAAATATGGTTATTTTACAAATCAAGAAACGTACTGCAAGCAATTTTTAAACGATCCGGCATTTTTCCTCTGTGCAAAATTCAATAGAATAGTAAACTTGAAGCAAAAATAGAGAAGGAAAAAAAACTTACAGGTAATAAACCCAACTGAAAATCACTGTCTAGTACAGACGTAATCTGTACGCGTAGGGTACACCCACGTCGTCGTGTAATCACAGGAAGATCTTCCTCATAGATAGTCACTATAGGGTCCAGTTTGTTTTCCTCGGCCATGAGAAAAGGTGAAAATGAATACAGTCCAGAAATACAAAGAAGAAGAGTATATAATTTTTTTTCAACTAACACCAATTGCTTGTTTGTTACCTGTCGCCATCCTCAGACATGTGTTATGAGGGAAAAGAGATTGAATGTTGATATACCTGTAGGCTAAAAATGGCTTGATGGAGAAGAGAAAAAGGAGTTTAAAAAATATTCGAATTATTGAGAGCTGAGTAAAATTGAAATATGAACGAACATCAGGTCAAATTTCCGGGTTTATTTTTTTTGAATTTTTTTACTTAACTTAAAAACGTTGGGCCTTTTTTTGCGTTCTTTAGTTCCTTAGGATAAATTAAACATGCCCACTACTAATGAAATAATAAAAAACGACCACGGTCTCCGCGCGACCACAGAAATAGCTTTTTAACATTATTTGTTGATATTTTTTTATTTTCTCCTTTTATTTGCCATTTAAATACGACAAGCCATATTCATTTAAAACAGTCGGTATTCCTAAAGCTGTGACATCGTACTGGAAACTAACAACAGGTTCCATTTGTTTTGTGATGCTTTTCTCTCCCTCTTGATCAGTCTTTCCTTGTTTCGCTTCCATACGAATATTTTTGATGATATAGTTTGTTTGTAGTTTTTTTGTTCCATTTAATATTCCCTCAATGTATTGATCTTGAATTGCCTTTGGCTTTATGTTAGAGCATCACCGTCGCCTGCAGCTAAGGCCCCCAAAACAAACTAGCAGTCACCAATGTCGCTACACACTGAGCGCGGATAGGAATGACATCGAGGTATGCCTATATGTGCTGCTACTGATGCCAATGATCGGGTTTCTCCATTCTCGGTGTGCTTCCACCTACACAAACATTCAGCAGTGAGCCAATATAACTGGCTGCTGTAATTTTCATGGCCTGAGAAATGATCTCATTCCCGCTTGAAAGCAGGCAGAACGTTTTAAAAAAAGAACTCAAAATGATTGAGCTGACTTGTTTCATTTATTTCGAACAGGTCTTGTCAGTTCTACTTAATTAACACAAAAATATTATGACGGTCATGCAATTTTCGTTTATTAATATTTTCTTTGCTCTAAAAGTGAATTTAAATAACAAATAAAATGCTGCCAGTCCCCCCCCCCAACAACACATCTCAAAACTGCCTGTTTTTCTCTCTCTTTTATTTTTCCCCATCACAGTTCTTTACAATGTATTCAGACAATTATTTTGAAAAGTGAACATCTCAGGTATGAAAATCAGCAAATTAATGTTAATCCTTTTTAGCAAAAAGGAGTTATATGTTCAACTTTGTAGAGCACCAAGCTGACAGCTGTGTGATTTGAGTTTCCACTTAAGCCAATAAAGATTTTGAACCAAATCTCAAGAGAATTAGAAGACCTACCAGAATTTATTATTGGCAGATATAAGATATACAGATGAAACTCTGTTGATAGCAAACTCAAAAAGAAAACTCCTAGACAAGATAGCAAAGGAAAGCAAGAAGAAAGGATTAACTATTACCTGTAAGACAAGCAAGAGACAAGCAAGCTACAAATTGAAGTATCAGAATGAGGCAGGTACAAAAATTTAACTGAGTAGTGTCATAAGATACAATGGAAAATGTGACACAGAAATCCAAAGATGTATAGGAAAAGCAACTCCAGTTCCTATCCCACGAACACAGGTGTTCCCCAAGGCTCCATCCTTGGCCCCACTCTATTCCTTATTTTCATCAACGACCTTCCTGACGACATAGATTCCCAAGTTGGCATCTACGAGGATGACACTACAATTTACTCCTGCCTCAAATACAAATCTAGTGTCGATGACAAAACTAACCTGGCCGTGCGTCTTGAAATGGACTTCCAATCGGTTGTTAATTGGGGCATGAATTGGCTGGTCAACTTTAACACCTCAAAAACTAAACTACTCTCTATTAATCACCATAGAGATCCTTCCCTGCCCCCCATTAGAATGTCTGATAGTCAACTTCTTGAGAGCAACTCCCTGTATCTGCTCGGTCTCACATTGACTGCTGACCTGAGATGGAACAAATACATTGAATCAATTACTTCGTCCATCGTGAGGAAAGTTGGCTCTCGGTGCCGCGCCAGGAAATTTTTCTCCCCAGAATCGATACTTCAAATATACAAATCAACCATTCGCCTTTGCATGGAGTATTGCTGCCATATATGGTCTGGGGCACCTTCTGTTTACCTTGGAGTTCTTGACAAGATCCAGAGACAGATATGTAATATAATTGGCCCTGATCTGGCGTCTGGTCTACAGTCACTCTCTCACAGATGCGCTGTCGCCTCTGTCTTTTCTACAAATACTTTCATGGTAATTGCTTCGATGAGCTGCTTTCACTGGTTCCCAGACTCCATGAATTCAAGCGCCCTATGAGGCTGGCATCCCGCTCCCACCCTTACACTGTAGAAACTTTTAAATGTAGCCCTCTCTTCTACTCCAATAGCTTCATACCTCGCACCTCTCACCTGTGGAATATCCTTCCCAATTACTGTTTCTCTGAGAGCTATAATCTCCAACTATTCAAATGTAATGTCAATCAACATCTCCAGTTACCTTGATCTATCCACTATCCCTCTCCTCATCCTTTCTTCTATCACTCCTATCTGCTCTTGCTCCAAATCTTCTGCAACCCCCTGCATCCTAGTGGCTTCACGCCTTGCTCGGGGCGTAATGCTTAAAAAAAAATTTTAAGAAAAAGGGGCCATCCAGAAACTAAGCAAAGTATTAAGAGACATGAAAATTTTATTAGAAAAAAAAAGAGTGTTGAGCTGTTAATGTCAATCTTCCTATATGGCAGTGAATGCTGGATAATTTCCTCAGATGAAGAAGACAAATCAGAAAAAGAAAGTTGAAAATTCTGTGACACATAATGAGAAAAGATGGCTTAAAGAAATTAACATTCACATGACATATTGAAGTCAGGGAGAGGCAGAGGGAAACTGCAAGTAAAGTACCTAATGAGTTTGTGTGAATGGATGGTAAAGAAGGTATAAAGAGGAATGATAAAGTGTCAAATGTTTCTATGAGCTACAAGGGACAGGAAGTTGTGGAGAGTTATGACGCCCGTGTGCTTGTGTGAATGGATAGCAGATGTTGTAGAGAGCCATGTTCACTTATAGGAAAAAAATTCATTTCTTACAGTAATTTTTCATAAAATTATTTATCTGCCTGATATATTTATTACTTGAAATGTTAAAAATGTCTGATTAAAAATAAATCCATTAATTCTTTAGAAATTGCTTTGTTTATATTTCAGATAAGAAACTGAGGAAAATTTGAACAAGGAAGTGTTCATTCTTTAAAAGGAGCAAATAGATCTTTGCTGGTGTCTGATGCTCTTTTTTTTTTTTTTTTTTTTTTTTTTAAACCCTGCCTGAGAGTACATTTTCTTAAATGCACTGACCGATAACCATAATACACACGGTTTAAAATAAGATAAAACCAGGTCGTCTATATCAAACAGAGGTATCCAATGAAAATAATGTTTGAAGATATAAGAATGTCTGATTAAAAATAAATCTTTTATTCTTTGGAAACTACTTGATATATAACAAAATTCAGAGTTTGACAAAATAACAGCAAATTGTATTTTTATCACTTTAAACATTATTTTTAGTGGATACTCACATTTGAATAGACACTATTAAACAGTATATTTATTTGTATTCATCTACCAGCCTCAGCGTTTGAGAAATAAATAAACAAAGGGTCTACTCAAATATGAGTATCTACTAAAAATAACGTTTAAAATGATAAAAATCTGTCGAAATAATAAAAAAATCCATTCTAAAGCCTACCCTTACCGTTGTTGTTATTGTCATAATGTTTCAGTCCGTCGCTCAACTCTTGAGCGACAGTTCGGTTCAACTCTCTGCGTTCGGGTGGGAGGAACCCGAAGGAGGCTACGCCGAAGGGCGGAGTCTCCTTTGGGGAGATAGACCGGCCCTGAACCCTTCTATACGGGTTCAATGGGTATATTTTTGGCCAAGCCCACGGGCCGGAGTGCCCACGTTAAACCGGCCTTGTGCCACATGATGCCCACGTGGTGGGGTGACTAAATATAGTCATAATGTTTCAATCATTTTACCCACCAGCATTCTTCAGGTATTTATCAATGCAGGTAATCTTCAGGGAATTTCAAACTGAACTCTTTATTTATTCTACAGAGGTAGATTCTTATGCCACTGTCTATATCTAAGGATATCTTATACTGTTCTTATTTAGTACTGCTCAGTTATCACACCTTGTTCCCACTGAGTCTAAGTCTGCACTACCTGGCCCAAGGATTGAACTCACAATTATTATTGTTACCAAAATCACACACCAACACTTTAGTCAACTAGGCTATTGTCCCGTGGGTCACTGTGCCCTACAGCCTTGTTCAGGTACTTGTCAATATGTGAAGCCTTTAGTGACTTTTAACTTGAACCCTTTATTTAATTTATGGGATAAAATGTCTAGGGATATCTTATCTTGTTCTTATTTAGTACTGCTTCATTATTGCTCACCTTATTCCCACTGAGTCTAAGCCAGCACTATCCAGAATCTATCCAGCCCAGTGAATGAACTAACAATTACTATATCACCAAATTCATGAACCAATGCTTTAAATCACTAGGTTATTCCTTCAAGGATAGTTGGATTGATAGATACCTGAAGAAAGCTGGTAAGTACAACAGCAAAAACATGGTGAGGATAACAACAAAGATGAAGACAATAATCTGAATGCAAATAATGATAACTTATCACAGAAATCCAGATTGAAATAACTTTAATCATGATCGGTATTAACCCTTTCATTAATTTAAATCTTTAATAGAGTGTTATCTATTATTAATGTTGATAACTTTTAATTTCTCAAAAATGTCATCTCTAAAATTGAAAAACAAAACTACGTATTCATAAAATCCAAAGAATGCAAAAGAAATATGACTTTTTTTTAATGCCATGTCCTTTTAGCTTATAGGCAATCATGGC